CAAATATTATCATGTTAAATTTTATTTAAATATTTTAAATAATTAAAAAAGTAGATCAAAGACATATTTATAGTAATCATGCAGGCAAATTTGCCTGCAAATCTCTACCAATTAAGGGATAGTTTTTCTTTAGCAAAAAATTTTGGTACAAATAATTGTTAGAAAAAGTTGAATATTTTAAAATTTTGCTTATAAAACTATTTTATAAATTTTAAAAAAACAACTAATTTAATATCTAATATTTGAAATACTAATATTTGTATAATATATAAATTAAATAATTTTTATTAAAATAAACAATTAACAAAATAGATTTAGGCCACAGATAAATATTTAGGTTAACCTATTAGGTTCTCTAAATATCTAAATTCTTATTCTTAGCACTAGGCTTAAAATTTAAAATTATATAAAAAGTTTTTATTAAGTTTAATAAAAATAAAAACAAGGTCTCATCTTAAATATTAAAAAAAAAAAAAAACAATTAACAAAAAAATTTTATAAATATTAGAGTTAGTTTATATTAAAATTTTGTTAAGATTTTTTTTAAAGCTTAAAAGATAGTTTTATAAACAGAATTTTAAAATATTATTAATATTTAATTTTTTTTTATTTTTGTTATACAAAAAATAATTTATATATTGTATTTAATTTGATATTTTGATTGGCTTTTTAATTGTTTGTATAATCAAGTATTAATATACCTAATATCTAAATAGTAATTATCAAAAAAAAAATTTTTTAAGCATGTGACTATTTTTCTAGCGTATAGCAATTACTCCTTTTGTTTGTATATTACAATTAGATAATTTACCCTATATAGACAGTACCACAGCTTATATGCAGTCTATAATCCATGTATATATATTTACAAGGCCTATGCACTTTATATAACCTACACATATCTATAAGATCTATACAACTTAACAACGCATTCAACCCACTTATTTTTAGAGAACCTATTAGATTTAGCTTTCTTCTCTCTAAAAACACGTATTTAAAGATATTATTTTCACCTTTTTGTAATAACAAGTTCTCAAGTTTACAAGTTTTTAAGTTCCTAAGCTCTAAATATTCTTTATTAAATAAATACATAATTAAATAAATAATACAAAAACAATCTTTGTCCGAATGCTCTTTGTGTAAAACCCATCCCTTCAGTATACTTGCAACCTAATTTTTGATATTCTTAATAGAATATCTGAAATTTACATTACAGTATAAATTATAATTTTTTTTATTTTAAACTCTAATACTAACTCTAATATTAATTAAAATTATTTAAAAATTATTAAATTTACATGTTACACAAACACCAGTGTTTCAAACACTAGATATTAAATTAGTTTTTCTTTAAATTATTTTTAAAATTAAAATATAAATATATTATTAAAAAAATTACAAATTTTATTAAGCTACAATATATTGCATACAAAATTTGCTAACTAATTATAGATTTTAAATGGGTTTAATTAGGAAAGATTTTCAATTTTTATGTAATTAAAAATATTTTATTCTTTTTTTTTTATAAACTAATCCAAAATAGGTTACAGTTTTTTTTTGTGTCATGTTAATCAAAATTTTAAAACACCAATCATTCAAATTATGTATCATATGCGTTACACAGCTAGCCGATCTTTCAAGATATCAGTTTTCTTTATAAATTGCAAGCTACGTACGTACGTACGTACAGCTTAAAAAAAAAAAAAAAATCAATATTACTATATCATAAATAAAAATCACTTAGCTTTTTATTAGAAGAGAGAAAAAAAAACGTGCAATTAATAAAGTTATGTTATATTGTGTGACAAATAATGTGAGTGTAATGGCATCAAAAACATATATGTACATTGGCGCAGTATTACAGAAAAAAAAGCAAATTGTAAGATTTCACTGCCTATTTATATATAAATACCCCCAGTCCTCCCTCAGATGCGAATTTTAAATCATAAGATACACAATTTACGGTATATGACTATTTTTATGATTATTATTGTCGATTATTTAAGCTGTATTTAATTAAATCGAAATAGCATATGATGACAATTGTTTAACCACATCACATGATCACTAACACACGATATTTTATCATACTGTAGTATTTTTTGGTCGACATAAAAGGGAATTAGAATAATTGTCTAGTAATTAAATAACATGTCTTTACAGAATACCTACCAAAAACAAAATTATATCTGTTTTTGGGAAGGGTGTGAACATCGGTTTAATAACGTTAAAGAACTCATAATACATTTAAAAGAAATTCACATAAAGATTTTGAGTATTGAATCACCATTATTTCATTGTCAATGGGGGGATTGTAAAAGTGATGAATCTTCACAAGAAAATTTACTTAATCATGTAATGGAAAAGCATTGCAATTTATCGACTCAACAATCATCACAAATGCAATCACAACAGTCAAGCTTAGAACAGACTTCAACGATCAGCAAACAGGTTTCAACGGTAGAAAAACTTATGAAAAAATTGCGATTTACAAATTTTGGCTTATTTAATTCATTTACTGGTCATCCTGAATTTTTGATTTTTTTTTTTTTTGAATAGGAATCAACAATGAACCAGAAATCAACATTACAAAATATTTCTGAATCGGTTCAGCAAAAACCGGACACACAGTTAGAATTACAATCGAACCAACAGAATCAACAAATTGAAGAAAGCCAGAGAATGGTTTGTACGCAGATCCAGAAACTTCAATTGGACACAGTACCACCTGACAGCTCACGACAAGTCAATACTGTTGAGACAGTTCGTATTTCACTTATTTATTTATCTTTTTTTTTTAACAAATTAATTTATGGTAGTTTCTTATGGCAATTTATTTCAATAGAAAGAAATAGTAATTATAGACGACGACGAATCCACCGTTTATAAGCCCACACAAGTGGCTAATACGGTAACTTCCTAATATAGTACATTACTTAGATATTCCCAAGCTAACTTGAAGTATCAAATAGGTTTCTGCTACACAACAAGCCACAAATAACAGGATTCCTGTAATGCGAGGGTTTGACATAAGGCCAAGGCAAATGGCACAGACACAACATTTTTCATATCTCCCAGCAACTCAAGGACATTCAGTTCCAAATCAGGTTCAGACGTCAAGTCAACATTTTCAGGTTTCGAGTCAGATGGCTCAAGTTCCGAGTCAGATAGCTCAAATTCCGAATCAGATGGTACAAGTTTCGAGTCGAAGGACGCAAGTTCCGAATCAAAGGGCGCAAGTTCCGAGTCAAAGAACGCAAGTTCCGAGTCAGAGAGTGCAAATTCCGAACCAACGTGTTCAAATGGGAGCAAACACATCACCATATAATAGCAATCTTAGATATCATTCAGCACAACAAGGCGCCAACATGATTCGTCCTTCACAACAGATTTCTCATTCATCAGGTTTACCATTGGTGCAGGTTCGTCTATTATGTATATTCTCACTTTAATGTTTAATAAAGGAATCAAGCATTTTTATTTTAGACACATCAAGATGGGAATGTTATTAGGATTATACAACAAGAAAATGACATGTTGCGAAGGGCGAATGTTGCACTTCAAGAATCTCATTCAAAACTTATGAGAGAAAATGAACAATTAATAATAGAATTACAAAATCTGAAAGCGAAAATTGCAGTGCAAGAAGCACAGCCAAGGTATAATAACGAAAATCTAATAACTGAGCTGCAAAAGATGAAAACGCAGCTTATGCTTCAGGATTCACAATTAAAAATGACCGAAGAGGAGCTTGTCTATCATAAAAGAATCACAAGTCTTATAACGGAGCAAAACCGCCGGGCGGATTCCAAGCTGAGATCAATCTGGGTAGATTTGTTATGTCAAAAAGCCCGTGCAAAATTGAATAATGAAAAAATGATGACGGAAAGAAGCGCCTTAAAAAGAACTAGAGAAGAAAATGACATGCAAGATTCGATAACAGGTACAATTCCGAAAAGGAGCAGAGAAAATGAAGAGAGTAGTAAGGATGAAGCTTTAGAAAAATCAAAAGGTACCAAAGGAATAGATGAAAATAATAACAATCAAGAAAAGATGGATATAGAACCGTCAGAAAGGTCCGATTCAACAGAGTGTGATATAAGTGTTATCACAGAAGCTTACGTTTGCCAATGGAATGGATGCGGAAAGGTATTTAGAACAAAACTAGCACTCAAAGCACACATTCCATCTGAACATATAGGAGTCGGAAGTTTACGTGTTCGTGTTGACAAACCATAGCAGTTTGTCAAGTTGTAGCAATTTTGTAAAACGCTTATGTTGTTTGCCTTTTGTAAATTTAATATAATCTACGAACATGTCTTAAAGCTAATATATATTGTATAGCCATTTAATAGACATAAACATACAGTAAAAAATAATAAAAAGCATTAACGCAAATAAACAGATACATTCTGTTAGTAATATATTGTCTAAGTAGGTAATAAATTATGATTTGTAATTAAATCTAAGACTGCACAAAAAACGTGCGGTACTTTGGCCCGCATTTCGTAATTTAGGAAAAAATTGACCAGATAGTGATGATCGAATTCATGATCATGAAACTAATATCACGTGTTTAAAATTACAAAACTAATTTAATCGAATATTCGGATATACTGAATTAGTTTAATAGTATTCAAAGTTTTATTAAATTTATTTGTACATAACGATAATTTATTTTTTTAAATAAGCTGATTTATAGTAACAGATAAAGTTGTCTAAATATATATATTTTTTTAGTTAATACGTATACAGTTTTATTTGTAAAATTATATATATATATTTATTTATAATTAATGTGAGGGACCAACATGAGGTTAGGTCAATTAGTATTTTTTATGATTATTAATCATTGGCGGACTTTAAATACTAATTGACCTCACGTTGGAACTAACAATTAATAAGCTAGATATCGTTATGACAGCTTATATAAGCATCGTATTATATATATTTGCTAATGCTGTAATGGTGATACTATTACACAACAATGCCGTATTTTATTCGATTTTACAATAAAAATCTATTCCAATGACTGGACTACGCCGAAATTTTACCATAAATTCTTGAATTAATGAGATCTATGCAATATTCGATTTCAAAACTTTATTTCGAAATTAATTAAGCTATTTTAGAGGACGCGATTTTCAAAATAATGCGCAAGCTATTTCGAGAATTTACGGTAAATATGAAATTAAATACAGTATTTAAAAATATTAGCTAATAAAATAATATGATTTTTGTATAACAGTAAAAATAAAAAAATTTAATTGGATTATAATTTTCTAGATTTTTAATTACTAGCAGTGTTGTACATGTATTTCATATACTAAATAATCAAACCTATATGAGGTATCATAATAAAATTTACTAGTGCAAATTTTTTTACGTATTACTGCATTATTTGACAATTCTGTACCCACGTAGATCCTAACTAGACCCCGGCAATGTTATTTAGCCAATAAAATTCAAGATCTATGATAAAAAAAATTATCAATGATCTAAAGGTATCGGTATGTAAATTCAAGAAATCAAACATACTTTATTAATGAAAACTTTTTAAAAAAACTTTATTAACATGTAAATAATTCTTTAAAAAGATTATTTGCATTTTGTTCTTGCTGTAGATTCAATTGAGGAACTAATGGAGTGGATTCTTGTTGCTTGTAAGCCATTCTATTTTTGTTTCGAATTTCTTTTAGTTGTTTGTCAGTAAATCGAATTTCTTTTATTTCAGCCATTGAAAGGCACATTTTAGATTGTTGAGTCTTAGCAATTATATTAGGGTGAGTTTTCAAATCCCACTTATTAAATAAGCCCTCAATTTGTTGCTGATAAATGATAATATACCAAATCTTGTTTTTGACAAAGTCATAGAGCCGTGGACATTGGTGTAGTAAACCATTGAATCATTAACAAATAAGTTAATTCTTGAAGAAATAATTCATTAGTTAATGCATCTTTAAACCCAAAATCATAAAAATTTTCTTCCATAATATCTATTTCAAGAGATTTTGCATAACAAAGCTCTATTAAACTAGGAACTTCTTGTTAAGGTTTTTCAAGAACAATATGCCAGTAGCTACGTGCAAATTTCTTGGCATTATCTTCAACAAGATGACACATACTTAAGGGAAGGTAAAGCCAACAATTTAACTATTTCTGATGTAATTCGAGTCATTTTTGGATTTCTTGTTTTAACTTTTAAACTAATAATTTAATTTTTGAATTGTCTATAACTTCTGTACTTTGCAGAAGTTCACTACTAAAAAATAGATAAAGGTTTTCTATAATACTCGTGAGCTCATGTATTGAGTTAATAACAAAATCTAGCATTTGATAAGCTCGACAACCAGGTGGCAAATATCGTAATAAATTATTAGATTGAACAACCCATGGTTGAGAATTATAGCCAACGAGAAATTCAGCATATAGGCGGTAAAATTCTTGGCAAATTTAACTAAACATTGTATTTCAATATTTAGTTCATAATCAATTCATACTCAACTCTTCCCGTCGATTACCTAGACCAAATTTTCTGCTAACGAAAAACAAAGTTTTCGTTGGAGAGTCATGCCTAACTTGCGGTTTGGCGAGAGGTTAATGGTTTTCTCTACCCAGGATTCCTCTTTAGGCCATTCAGTATGCAAGCCAAGAGTGTTGGTATTTAAGATAACTGGCAGGTGGTGCCCTTGGATATAAAATCTTGGTGGAGAGGCAAAGATGTAGTATCTATCGCCGAAGCTTTTAGGCTGTTACTTCTTGGAAGAACACAGGGGAAACAACAAACAACTTGTGATTTCAACACACTCTTTATAAAATTATAAAGTCCTTGCAGCCAAACACCCTAGACCATATTCTTGCTTGGTTTGGTTTTTTTTTTAGGGAATTTTTGCTAAACAAAAAGTGGGAAAATTGGCTTACCCCTCCAAAAGATCTGTATTGTTTACCAATTCCAAATTGGGAACAGGAGTCACAAGAAAACATAGATTCGGCAGCTCGGGAACTCTAATTATGGCAGTAGGTGGCTTGAGATACAGGTCCTCGGACGGCGGTAGCACCTGGCTCAAGATATGAATTAGGACAGGCAATCTAAGAATCAAACTGTGTCATATGGAACAAGGACTGACATTGACCATTTGGAGAACTTTTTATAATAATTCTTGCAGAGCTAACTCTACTCTGAAGACATTTACATATAATATGGACTAAATTTAGAGTAAAGCTAAATTTAAGAGTATTATATAATTTTTCAGCCATGATATGGCTTTATCATTTTGTTAGGGTTTTTTTTTTCTCTTTTGTTTTTTTTTTTTTCGAAATATGTGTTTCTTTTTTACTCTTTTTGGTGTTTTTTTTTAGGTTTTTGTTGGTCGTTTTCATTTTGTTTATTTTTCAAAACTTTCTCTCTTTTACCTCATGCCTCTTGAGAAGAAGGAAGAATTAGAATGGAAAGAAAAGATCCTGACATGGTATACAACAACCTGTCATAACTCTTGGGGGTAACCTTGTCATTACGAAATTCGAAGCAAGTTTTAAATCCTGGAGGTGACTAATAGTTGTTATAGCTGGTCGTATTGGGCTTAGGCTTGGTAAGCTTTTATTAGATATAAACATTCAGTCTCATTGATATATCATAGCGTCATGTAGCAGTTCACTAAATTTGAATAAAGGCAGGATCGCTTAAAAAAATATATATTTAGTTCATAATCATTTAACCAATTTTCAAATAATTCTTATTTTTTAATATAAGAATATGAAGCTTTTTTTAGAGTTTTTAGTCTTGAAAGAAACCACAAAACAAATTCTATATAAATTTCATGCCTCTCAAAGTATTGTTTAGCCGTGATTAATTCATATTGCCATCTTGATCATAGAGGATGTTAATATTTAGTTAGTTGATAATTAAGCTGCACTTTGTAGAGACTATATATCGGCTCACTTCTTATACTTAATGGTAAATCTTTATCACTTTGGTTATGCAACATCCAAGCTAAGTAAAGAAGATTAAATAGATGCTATGTTTTGGAAAATCTAGTGCCTGTAGGAAGTTTACCAAAGGTGGTTCTTCAAAATTATTTAAAATTAAGTGTAATACATGCAATCTACAAGTAATTCGGATACAATTAGGAAACTGACAATTATTAGGTGATTTTCTAGGGGGGGGGAAGTTAAAAAAATTGAAATTTTATATATAAGACCTGATAATTTATATATTAAAAACTAGGGGGGTAAGCCTCTAATAAAAAAAAATCAGGTGATAAATGACACTGCCCTTATTTTTAGCTAATATATTAAATTTTGTTACAGCACCTCCAACATAATCACTTATATAATTCGTGTTTTCAGAAAGAAATGTAAAACATTATAAAGTATCGAGATTATATTTAGTACAGGATTCAATAAGGGCTTGACTAACTATATTGGAATTACAGCATCAAAGGTTTTTTGTTTCTAAAAGTACGGCATCTGGTATATTTTTTGCTGAATTCCAAAATATAAAACAATTAACTAATATCTTAACGTGAAATGAGTTGACTGATTAGCCTGATAAAATATATCTCGAACTTGTAATTCTGATACTTCATGATACCAATAGCTAACAGTTGTAGCAAAGATCCAAGATTGTTCATTGTCTCATGTCAAAAAATTAAAAATAGTCTTCATACTAGCTGCCATAGCAGTAAAGGACATGTGGCCGATTTGAGAAACTTCTATTATAGGTTTAAAAAATTTGAGTTATATTCTTTTTTATTTTGTTTGACTAAATTTCTAATTATGGTTTTTATATTATTGTTCTTTAATTCTGGTGAACGTCTGGTTGCTGTATAAATTTGAGATATATGCTATTGATGTTTGAGCCTAAATTGTACAAGAGAACCATTAAGCTTTCAAACTTTATGAGTTATGCAGTTATTAGTTCGTTGCAACTTTTGTATATTTTGTTTAAGTTGCTTGTTTTGATGATTTAATAAATCTAATAACTTCCCAGGTTTGTAAAGAGAATCTGATATATAATGAAATGCTTTGTTTTGCATATAAGGAAATATAATATAATCTTTATTTTTTCTATATGAATATCTCATTGTGCATAGAAAATGAGATACTGATTTGTAATCTGTTTCAAATATATCTTGAAGAGAATTGGTGACTATGTTATGCAATTTAAAAGAATTAGATTTATTCTGGATATTAAATATCATATTATATATCATTTTAAGTTCTTGTTTCATGATTTTATT